GCGTACCGGCGGTGAGTCCGGATCAATGGCGTATCGATCACTGGGCATCGGAGGCTCTAGTGGGATCGGGGTCGGAGAGATAGCCCCATACTGCCACGCCATCAACTCAGTCGGCATATCTGGCCATCCAGGATGAGGATAAGTCGACGGAACCGGAGGAACCGGTCTACCCCCACCTCTCAGAGATCGAGCGTCATGCGCCGTGAGCCCACACATCCGCCCTAAAGCCTGAGCATGGCCAAAACGGAGCTGGGGCAAGATCACTTCAGAGCATTCAGACTCCATCAAAACCTGAAAATCTTCGAAAGTGGGACACATCTCTTGGCCGCCAAAGCTAAAAACATGCGTCACTGGATTCCAGAACCTTGCCGCGGCATGGAGAAAAGGGAGCTGTAGCGGAGTACGGCTCAGCGTGAATAGTGCATTCAAGCTGAAACCCCGGAAGTTCAGCTTTTCTGAGCCATCTAGAGAAGAGATCCAAGATGTGAGATTTTCTGCGAGAAATGCCTCCATCTTTGTCTAAAACCAATGTGAAATGAATGTTCCCGAAGTTGAGGCTTTTATAGAAGGAAAGACACTATTCACAGGGACACATGTCAAAAATCTGGTGGCTGCAGGACTGAATGGCCGGCCGACCACCTTTTCTGGCTGGCCAGCCATTTACTTTTTGCAGAAATGGCCGGCCAGCTATCTCTCTCCACAAAAATGGCCGGCCGGCTCCTAGGGATGGCTGGCAATGCTGCAGTGTATCTCCTTGGCCCTGTTTTACTCTTCGAGGGAAGGTTCCAAGCATTTCCATGCAACGGGGGAATCAAAGGCCTTCATCTCCCTCTGTTTCGGATGCGTTCCGATGCCCAGATCGTCAGAAGTACACTTTGTTGTTGTTGAGTTTTGTTTATCGAGTTGTTGTTTTGCTTATCGAGTTGTTTGTCGAGCGGACGTGTTTCGTGTTTTTGAGTCATTGCACTCTATTCAAGCAATCTTTTTTTTAATGTCTTGTTTATTTGCGTTGTTGCATTTTGTTTATCGAGTTGTAAACTTGCTAAAGGTTCTGTTATATCTTAGTAAGTTGAGTTGTTTAGTTTGTTGCGTCGGTTCACTACCTGACTTGGTGATTACACAATGCGCATTCCCATTCAATTTCATTTTTGTGCGAAATAAATTGATGCGATACGATGCTAAAAGTTTAAAATACAAACACCTTTTCAAAAGCTATTTCATTTCATCATGCTTTACAACAAACAAAGGCACAAGTTTTACAAAAAATAAAGCTGCCTAACAATGTGCAAAGTGCTACAAACTACTAGCAAAAAGAAAAATAAAGCAGGAAATATCAGCATCAAAGCCCTCGGGAGCGGGAACGAGAAGCCCTCCTCATCCTCTTCTGCGGGACAATCTCCGCACCACCATCACCATCTGAGTCGGAGTTGTCATCCTCAGGATCCTCCTCAGCCTCGCCTCTGTTCCCCAAGCCAAAACCGGAGCCCCCCTCCTCAGCAGATGTCTCTGACTGACGATCGGTAGCCTCCTCCTTCTCCTCAGCATCCTCCTCCTCCTCATCAGGCTCCACCTCCACAACGTGAGCCCTGCGTCTGCGGACAGGCCCCCCTCGAGCTCCTCGAAAAGGCCTAGATGGCCCGGCTCCTCGGGAAGGCCGGGATGATCCCGCTCCATGAAAAGGCTCAGATGGCCCAGCTCCCCAATGAGGCCCAGGTGGCCTAGTCTGCGGCTGACCGGACCATGAAGGCATCTGAAAAACAAAGAGTTCAATTCAAATGCATCAGTCCAAGTATATACATCAGACGCAGATATAAGCAAAGGCTACATGAAGTGGGTGCATATAAATACAGTGTACAAATGGGGTGTGTGTCAGATATGCTCTACACAAGTAGTCTATCGATGCAGTAGAAATCAGCATGTCATCAGAAGCATGATAAATGCCAGAAAACTGAAGGGTACCTGAATGCCCGCGACAGACAACTGTGCCTCCCTGCGCAGGACCATGCCCTCGAGTGTGGCCACCAGTCCAACCACCTCCTCCATGTACCCTCGCGATGGCTGCAAAAATGAGTTCATAATCATCAGTGAACAAAAGAATGTCTAAATATCTGAATGATGAATGAAAACAGTGGAGCATACCCGCGGTGAGTCCGGATCAATGGCGTATCGATCACTGGGCATCGGAGGCTCTAGCGGGATCGGAGCCGGAGAGATAGCCCCGTACTGCCACGCCATCAATTCAGTCGGCATATCTGGCCATCCGGGATGAGGATGAATCGACGGAGTCGGAGGAACCGGTCTACTCCCACCCCTAGATGTACCAGCCCTGCTAGTAGAAGGGGCATCTGCAGTCCGAGCCTGAGCCTGGCCCGAGGATGGCATACCGGCAGGTCTCATCATCGGGATACGAGCTTCCGTCA